GCCCGGGTTCTTTGTTTCCCGGAGCTGCTTGTCTGGGGAAGGGCGGGGGGGGAGGGGGAGCGGAGAAAGAGGGAAGGAAGGACGTGGAGAGGGAAGAGGAAGGGAGCTCAGGATTCTAGGGAATCAGGTCAGCCCCCGGCTGGCTGCCGGAGCTCCTGCCTCTCTCCTCCTTTGCACCCGCTGCGGGAGCGACGCTTTGGGCTGTCTACCACCCGCACCGCGTTTTAACTGCATTAGTCTTCGCGATGCAAAATCTTCTCTCATCATCATTGGGAAGGCTTGGGAAGGGCACACACATGCACACACCTTAAAGGGAGCTTCTTCAAAGCGGGAAGGGGGGGTGTTCTTTCTAGATGCAAATTTCCACGACGATTTTATGAAATGTAGCTTGTCCCATTCTTGTTTTTTTTTTTTTTTTTTTTACCAGCTAGTTGGATTTGTGTAGTGGATAAGCGAGTGCTATTAATAGAATAAATGCACATGTGTGTATTTTTACTTAGCACTAACTTTGCAAAATATTTAAAGGATATAGATGGGTGGATAGACACGCACAGTGAAGAAGAAAGCCGATGGCCAATGTACTGCATGCAGCTAAGCAGATCAGAACTTTTACTTGCAACTTCTCTCTGCTTCTTCGTTTCAGTTCTATCACAAATGTTATCTACAGTAACCAATGAAAAGATGGTTTGAAGAATGACATAATTGATAGAAAAAAAGTGGAGTTAGCTCAAAGCAATGTTGAGCCTTTAGAGAATCCAGTTAATAGAACAAAGCTGGAAGAAAATGTGAGAACTAAAGTTTCTAAGCGTCTTTAACAAATGGAAAAGTGAAAAAAGAATATACTTGGGTGTGAGCCAATTGATCCTATTCTGGTCAAGAGTACAACAGGGTAGATATTCAACCTCCTGCTTAAGCATTCTAAGGAATAACACCACCACCACCAAAAACACGAAGAAGATCTGTTCCCAGTACTGCTGAGCAGTGTTGCCTTTTAAAAATGATGACAGTGTGCAACAGGCAGGGGTTTAAAAGTGACGTTTGGGTATGCCGGAATCTGATGTGTAAATGAACTTTCTCTCGTATGATAACCAATAATTTATTTAGAAAGTGTGCCCGTCCAACATCATTCATTCAATGCTGATTTAAATACTAGGAGCGATAAAGACTGTGTTATAGGTAGTTCCCACTCTGGAAATGTAATGCATCACCCTTGTCAAAGAGGACCTCTACCGTAAAAACAATTACATTCTCTTTCTACCTGGTGTCAACTTATTGGCATATGTGAATATATGTCCTTCAAAACACAAAAATATTTCTCTCTCGCAGTATATTGTACAAGGTTTATCTAGTTGAATACAGAAAACAAGCCTTATTGAAGGTCATGCTTAAGGAGTGAAAGATTTGCTTACCTCTTCCCCATACACACACAAAGAGGAAAAAAAATACTTTATTGTAATTTGAGTTTTTAATCCTGACTTATGAGGGAATTAACCCAGAGGTATATTACCACGCAGTATTGCAAATGAGTACCAAAAAGATATATCAGCCAATGACCTTTTGAAAACTCATCCTCATCTTCATTGCTCCCCCAGGAGGTACTGGGTGAGAGAAAGAGCCCATGATATCTTGTTTCCTACTCTCCCTGGCATATAAAAAACAGTATTGAACTTAGTTAGGCAAGGTTATGTGTCATTGAGTAACTAGAGTGGATGCCGGGAAAACACACTTAGTCCTAGAATGTGAGAAATGGTATGAAACTAGCAGATCAACTATTCGTCCAATCTCTTGTTTAATAGATAAGAAAACTGAGGCTATCGAAATTGTGAGCTGCTTTATGAAATTGATCTGCTACAGAAATATGGATCTAAGAACACAAACAAGAGTTCTTTGCCCAGTGCTCTTTCCCCTACACAGTTATGGCATGCAGGGGTGCACCCAGGGATACTCATTGGACTTAGGGAACACAGTAATTCATTCAGCAACCATTTGTGTACCTCCTGTATCCTGGGCATTAGACTACGCACGGGCAGAAAAACACTCCTGCTTTTAAGTAGCATATAATGTGCCATCATTTTGAAATTTTTCTCATTTTCTGAAGTCTTGAGTCATGTCAGAAAACCCAAGTGAACCACTTAGGGATGGTTTTGTGGCAAGTCAATATCTACTCTTCTTACAATGTATATTGAGTTAGAAATAGTTGGTAGTTGGTATCTAAACCCTTATAGACCTCTCTCTCTAGACAAGGGTCAAGCAAGAGAAGCTGCAGAAATAAAAAGAGCATATTTTGCAAGGGCACTGGATTCCTGAGAACAGGGATGCAATGTCATACGGTCTTCTCGTAGGGAATTAAATGCCTAGAATGGGGGCAGAGGTTGAAGTTCACAGAAACCAGACCACCTCTACTGTGCGATGTTTACATTTAGAGATGGGGAGAAGAGTTGTGCATGTCAATCATCACTTTTGCATAGAGGCAAAATGATGTAGTGCGACAACAGGTTTGGATTCAAGCTTCAACTCCACAATTTTTTTTTTATTTGGAGGTGAGCTTGGGCCATTCTTGTCTTCAGTTTCCCCATCAATAAAATGGGATCTATCATCTCTTCCCACCCCACAGGTTACAGATAATATATGTGAAAATACTTTTCTTCTTTAAAACACTATAAAATAACAAGCTTGGTTATCTCCAATCTCGCCTTTTCCCCTGAGGTCCATCTTCCTATATTTACATGACAATGGCCTCTTTTCTTTACTCTTTAAATAGGTTTTGATAGCTTTCCCTGCTATCAACCTATTCTGTGCCAACAGCTTGATCTTAGTGGAATCTTACTTTCATCATGCCTTTCTAGTTTTCCTTTTGCTACAGGATTTAGTTCAAACACCATAGTTTGGAAATGTAAAAACTCTTCCCATCTCTCCAGACCAATCTCCAGCCTCACTTACGCAACAAGAATGTCCGTCACTTCCTTTTCTCATAGCTCTGCTCACCGAGTACTTATTTATACACAGACACACACACACACACACAGACACCCCCTCAGGAGGCCAAGAGCCATTTCCTAATGCAGTGTTTTGCATTCAATATTCTTATCTGCAAAATAGAAATAATAATACATAATTCTTAAAGAGGTTGAGAGAAGGAAATGAGATTATGTATGTAAAGGATCTGACACATTTTAGGCATTTAGTTGGTGTTCCATAATGATAGCCTTTGCCATCATCACCTTATTCGATTATCTCGGAGAGAAAGCAGGCTTCAGAATTATCTCCACAAGATTTTCTCCAGTGTCGTAGCCAAAAGCAAATTAAGTGATTTACACTCCCTGGTGCCTTCCCAGGAGAAATGATTGCATATGTCCACCAAAAGACAAAACGAGAACACTCATAACAGAGTTACTCATAGTAGACAAAAAAATGGAAATATCCACCAATAAGAGAATGAATAAATATCATATAGTCGTATTGTGGAATAGTACACAGTGACAAAAAATGCAGCTACATAGATAAATCTTACAGACGTAACGATGAGTGAAAGAACCGAGACACAAAAGACTGTATACTCCAAGATCCTATATTTACAAAACTCAAGAGAGAGTAACATGAATCTTTGGTGATGGGAGTCAGAATAGTAGCTATTTCTGAGAGCTGGAGGGTTCTGACCAATAAGGGGCAGGACTGTGCTTCCCGGGTGCTGGAAATGATGTGAGTCGTGGTTGCATAGATGCATGTATAGGCAAAAATTCATCAAACTATACACTGTGCGATTTCCTAATGTATATCTTGCCTCATTAAAATTTTTTTTACATGGCTTAGGACTCCATAGGAGCAGAAAGCACAAGCAAGTTTTCCTTTTTTCAAGCGGTTTTCTTGCCTGCCAACTTTACCTTTCTATCTCCTGGCGAGATCATGGAAATTTTAACTTAACTTCTGTTGAAATTAGAAATCATGTGTTCAACCATTTCCTCGATTTACCCACTCCCTGACACTCTGTTGAAAGAACCTCAACGCCCAGTGTCTTATCACTTGGGATAGGTTCAGTGGGCCTCTCACCCTAGGAATCATGGGAGTAAATAACTCAGCAGTTGGCCAGTGACAGATTTAAACTTTCCCTGGTTCCCTTGGATATTTTATTCTACATGGAAAGCTGGGGACCCTGTGGGACCACCATTCTCTGACATATTTTGTAACTTAGGCAAACAGATACTTGCAGTATGCACAAGGAAGGTCACGTTTGTATAAGATACGGGGAAAGTGGTGAACGAATGAGGCTGAGAGTGGGTACATGAGGTACAGTTTCTAATTTTTCCTCTCTCACTCAGAATCTGTGGCATCCTGATGCTATTTAGCTAATCCCGACGTATGCTGCCTTGGCATTCATTAAATCTCTACATTCTGTTATTTGTGTCTAGTTCTTTACAAAATAACCTCTGATGTTGCTCTAAGGAAACTGAATTGAGACACTTCCCTCCTTTTCTCCCTGTATGTTCTCCTCTCCGTGCTGCCCCCACTAGGTAA